TGGGAGGCAAGGTTGTTGAGACGATGACTTGGGATGACTTTGTTACGAGGTTTAGTGTTGAGTTTTCACCAGTGATCGAGGTTCAGTAACTGGAGGAGTTTCAGGACCTTCGTCAGACTACTGAGACTGTGGCAGAGATCACCGCCATGTTCCACGAAAGAGCATTATTGGTTCTGAAGTATGTGGCGAACGAGGAGATGAAGAAGGCTAGGTACCATGATATGCTGAAGGATGAGATACGGGAGTTTGTGAGCATGTCCAACTGCAATACTTTGGAGGAAATGATAGCGAGGGCCCATGAGTGGGAGATTGATCTGGAGACTGTGAGGAAGAGAAATTCAGTTCAGGATCAGGTATCATAGGGCTAAACTAAGAAGCCCAAGGTTTTTGATTCTCGAGCGAGGGGCCAGCAGGTCCGGAGCCGTTGTGGCAAGTGCGACAAGACGCATGATGGAGTTTGCAGGGTGGGTGGTTCTGGTTGCTTCAGGTGTGACAATACGGGTCACTACAACAAGGATTTCACCGCCACCACCACCACCACCATCTAGGTATCTTATCTGATTTGCTTTTGTTGCAACCAGAGGGGCCACAAAATGGCCAATTGTTTGAGCTTAGTAGGAGGAGCAGTTGCAGCACCTGCTCTAGCTACACTAAGGATCACCGATGGCCGTCAGAGCAAGGCGGATGCACCAGTCGTGAGGAGTCGATATTTCTAGCTGACAGCCGAGGAGGCTCGTGAAGCACCAGATGTGGTTACTGGTATGTATCTTCTCCTTATTTCATTTATTGATTTGATGTTTATGCTTATTATATTTATGATGTGATATAGGGATGTTCCTAGTGAACGTGTTCCAATTTTGGTTCTTTTTTATTCGGGCGCCACCCGATCGTTTGTATCTTTTGCGCTTAGTAAGAGATTTGGTGACGCTCCAAGGGAACTTGAGTATCCGTTAGAGGTGGAGATCGCAAACGATCGTCCAGTGCGAGTATCGAGGGTTCATCAGGGTTGTGTGCTGAAGTTATTTGACGAGCAGTATCTGATTGATTTGGTTCCTATCCTTTTGCATGAGAGCAAGGTTATCGTAGGGATGGATTGGTTGAGCTCTAATGGGGCAATGATTGACTATGAGTACCAGTTACTTCGGGTTCGAACCCCAAGTGGGGGAGAACTAGTCATCCGTGTTGAGGGTGCTCAGCAAGGGCCAGTTCTTTGTTCAGCTGGGAGAGCTAGGAGGTACCTTCAGCAGGGTTGTTCTGGTTTTGTGGCTTATATATTGGATACCATATAGGAGAGAAAGAGGATGATTTATGATGTTCTGATAGTTCGAGATTATTTTGATGTGTTCCTGGAGGACTTGCATGGACTGCCTCCGGGGAGGCAGGTTGAGTTTCGTATTGATCTGGTTCCAGGTGCGGCTCTGATAGCCAAGGCACCATATCGGTTAGCACCGTCGGAGATGCAGGAGTTGTCTACATAGCTGCAAGAGCTGTTAGACAAGGGGTTTATCAGGCCGAGTAATTCACCCGGGGGAGCGCCGATACTATTTGTGAAAAAGAAAGATGGCTCCCACATGATGTGCATCGACTACCGGGAGTTGAACAAGTTAACGGTCAAGAACCGTTATCCGATTCCAAGGATTAATGATTTGTTCAACCAGTTACAGGGTGCATCTTGGTTCTCCAAGATTGATCCGCATTCAGGCTATCATCAGATGAGGGTTAGGGATGAGGATGTTAAGAATATGGCTTTCAGGATTCGATATGGTTATTACGAGTTCGTGGTGATGCCTTTTGGGCTCACCAATGCACCAACATCGTTTAAGGATCTCATGAATAGGGTTTGCAGGATGATGCTGGATTGGTCAGTGATTGTTTTCATTGATGATATATTGGTCTATTCTAAGACCAAGGAGCAGCATGAGGATCATCTACAAGAGGTTCTGGAGACTCTGAGGAGGGGGAGGCTTTATGCTAAATTCTCCAAGTGTCAGTTTTGGTTAAGTGGGGTGCAGTTCTTGGGGCACCTCGACAATCATAAGGGTATATTGGTTGATCCGGCAAAGGTCGAGGTCGTGATGTGGCGGGAGGTTTCGAAGCCTTCAAATCCTAAAACTAACTTAAATAACACATCCTTATCAACATACCATATCACCGTCAAATTTAATGACTTTGAGTATAACGCTCGTCGTGTATCCCGAAAACAACTTTTTTCCAAAAATGTTTTGCTCGAGACAATGAAAGAACAAAAAAAGAGCATTACCTCCAAAAAAAATGATTGTTTGCATTCTCTTTCACAAGAACAAGAAGAACAAGAAGAACAACCTGAAAAAATTTCTTGGTTGTAATCGCATCCCCCTAGCCCCCTTAAGGGGGGACACTCCTTACAAAATATGGAAGTAAGGTCAAGGTACTTCTTCCTCCTTGCCTTAGAGATGAACCCATTATCTATCGTTTATAAAATTCTAAATCAAAAACTTTATAGTTTGCAAAATTATAGATCTTGCACCTAATACAAATATCTTTTTCCGTAATATGTAATACTAAACAATAAAAAAATGGTGGTGGAGGTGTTGCTTCATCTTTTCCTTTACTGAATTTCAACTTTATATCTTAAATAATGACTATGTTTGTGATGAGAGCATTACACTTTAGTATTAACTTCTATAGTCACAATTTAATGAAAGAATTTTGGCATATCTGTTATCCTCATTTCGGTTAACATTTTATGTGTCTACTATACATTTGTTCGTCTCATATGCATACATCAATCTCCAACAAGATTATATCGTGAATAGAAATAGCATCTTCCTATTACACGTATATATTTTCTCCATTATATATCATCATCATTTGATTAAGCCATCGTTCAAGAGTACTAACACATCAAGTGTTGATAATATTGTAAGATAGTTAGTTCAAACTACAAGGACAATTTGTGTAATTACTCAAAATAATAATAATATTAATAAATTCAATTTGTTAATTTTTTTTTCTTTTTGACAAAACTGTAAATTTGGTCCTTGTGGATAGCAAAAAACTATGGTTATGGTCCAAAAAGTTTCCGACTTGCATAGAAGTTCCAAAATCAAGAACTTTTGGTGGTTTTGATACCAAAATTAAGAAATTTTGTGGTTTGGGTCCATGGAATACTTTGAAGGACCACTTTGCCTTTTTATTTTCTTTTTTATAATTTTTATATCTGGCTAAATGCCTTTTCAATTTAATATTTAATTATAAAAAAGTTGGGCCCATCCGACCCACCTCCACCCCTACATGTACCTACCCCTTATCTTCGTCCATCTATTGCCTACCCTGTTCAAACCTCTTAATTGTAATTCATAATGTCGACTGTATCTCCTTCCTCATCCCTCTTCACCAATTACCGTATCTTCTCCATCCCCATTCCTCCATCTTCACGATCGACCTACATCTTCTTCCCCCTCCCTCTCCACCAGCCACCTGCATCATCAGATTGCCCATTATGACCTAACGATTTCACAGTTAGTATGTGTTAAATTGGCGAGATTAAGCAATGCTTCAACCATGGTCGACCATCAAGATGAAAATCAGATCATTCATGGCTGACCAGCGAGATCAAAATATGTTCAACCATGGTTGCCACCATCTGCCTCTGTAACATGTTGTTTGTCTACGAAATTTAAAACTCGATTGGAGCAAGTAGATACGTAATAATTCATAATTAAACCCCCAACATCATTTGCATCAGTTTTTAGATCGGAATCATCGTTCAATTTAGAGAGAAAAATCGTGTGAAAAAGTGAACTCTTGATCATACAGATTGTATAGTAGATAGAGAGTCATGGCGGAGACAAACGGAGGGTCAACAACAACACCGCCATAACAACCACGACGAGTTCCACTAATGATTTCACTTCCCCCATAAAATTCGTTCTAAACCCTATTCATTGGTAGACCTGGACTAGGGTTCAGCTTTGAACCGATGACCCTTATCTCAAATTTCTTCTCTGGTCATAATTAATCATCATTGTTTTTTTAACAACATCTATGGATCGAGATTTGAAGGTGTATGAGTTTTTTTTTATCATTGATTTATGGGTTTTACTTTATTGAGTTTTTCACCTAGGTTTTAAAGGTTTCTTTTCTTAAATCCTCAATAAACAAAACGATTTCACCCTTTAGATTCACAAAGTGTGTGTGTGATGTATGTATGATTTTGAGTTGCAGGTCCATTATGTTGGTTGTTCTAAATTTTCAATGTGTATATCTATATATGAAGTGTGTATGTGGTTTTATTACAGAGGAAGAATATGAATATGTGATGAGGAATATGATTGATGAGAGAGAAAGAGAGAGAGGGGAGGGAGTTACCGATGGGGTGTGGTGGGATTTTTTTTTCTTTATAATTAATGAAATACTAAAATTAATAAAAAAAATGTAAAAAAGAAATAGTAAGGATAAAATAGTCCTTTCAATTTATCAGTGACCAATTTCACGAAAAATTCTTGAATTTTGACCTTCCATTCAAGTTGAAAACTTTTTGGATCTTATCCACGGTTTTTTGAATACCATATGGATTAAATTTGTAGTTTTATCTTTTTTTTTCAACGACAAAATCTAACTGGATCCTAAACTATTTGTGATTCTATCTATATTTCAGACGAGACTTAAACTATCGAACTAAACGAAAAATGATACCTTTTAATATAATTTGTTAAGTAACTAATTAAAATTGTGAGTGGAATGACCGGTAACAATTAAATATTAGCCAATTATATCCTTCCACTTTATCTTATGTCTAAGAGTGGAAGTCCAAGAGTCACCTTCAAAACTGATTTTTCACCATCCGATCAACCATTCATCAAACGGTTCTCAAAACCCATGAATTGTGTGATTTTTATGTTTTCTTTTTAAAAAGAAAAAAACGTAAAATGACCAAATGACCCCCCACCATTCTCTTAAAGCTTGTTCGCTTGCACAAAAAATGAGAATTGTTTCAAGCGTCTCTCTTTCTCTCTCTCATGGAAAGCGGTGGCCATTTTGGTTTTTACGGTGGTGATCAAGGTGGTGGCTTGCCGAATTACCAAATGTTTCCTCTACATTCTCCTTCAATCTATACCCCCACTCCTCAATTGCCACCCCCACATAGTTTTCTTTTGCGTCAAAGTTATCAAAATTCTGTCAATTACAATGACACACTTTTCCCTTCAACTGCATTTGATCACATTTCTTCTTCTAGTGGAGGGATCGATCACTTGATCAACAAAGAAGCAGCTGCAGGAGTTTCAATTGCACCATCGTTTCCTATGGATCAAAACGCAGGTGTTAATAGCATGCTTTCTGACACTAATTGGGTGCAACTGAGCAACTATCGCATGGATAATCCATACACAGACTTCTACAAAGAAGTAATCAGTCCTCCTAACCAGATCTCAAATGGTGGTGTTAACACCCCCTCTAGGAAATTATATCACAGGGAACCATGGAGAAAGGAAGAAGACAGGTGAAACCAACGTTCTTTAATTCTTCATTATATGTGATGATCGGTTTATTCATGTATGAATGTTTTTCCTTTTTGTGGTTTTATGAAGAAAACTGCATGAACTGGTTAATTGATACGGGGTGAGAGATTGGTCTGACATCTCAGACAGCATCGAAGGTAGAGCTGGGAAACAATGCCGTGAGAGATGGCGGAATTATCTACGTCCTGATATTAAGGTCGTTCTTTTAATTACTTGTTAACTATTTAATTAATTAATCTTCTTCTAGCTATTTGAGTTCTTCATATCAACAGTGTGTTTCGATCTATCTAAAATCGATGACATTTAATCATTTATTTCCGAAATGTTTCTAAATCCTTTTAATTTTTAAATATGCTTCTATATATCTATATATTAATTATAATAATATTTTTTCCTTTTTTTAATTGTACACATTATTTTCTTAAAAAAGCTACGGATTGTTGAATTTTTCGTTTTGGAATTATAAAAATAGATTTGTTAAAATCGCACCTCCCATTCTATTCCTGATGAAGTTATAGATACGAATTATCATATATAATTAATGGTTATGAGTTATTTGTTAATTATATTTGGATTTTCCAAAACATATCATTAGAAAATTCGAACAGGGTTTTATTTTTCTTGCAGGTGCTTTTGTAGTGACCCCGTACTTATATTTTTCTGTGTAACTTTTTTATTTTTCGCTTCTTAAGATTTACTATTAAATTAACATATTAATTATTAACACAACATGACATGATTTTTTTTGTTGACACCGACTTAGGCGGTGGATATTCATGTGTTTTGAGAAACGTTTTCCAAACAAAAAGATCATAATTTGTTTCAAAAGTGTTTCGATCTTTCAAGTAGTCGCACAAATTTCATTTTCTTTTTTCTCCCTTTTGCATTAATGTTCCTCTCCATTTTCAAGATTTTAGATTGCATAGATAATGTCATGTGTTTCCTTGGTTTGTGCTTTCAGACAGATGAATGGAGTGAAGATGAAGAGATAATTATTGTTGAAGCTCATAAGAAAATTGGTAATAAGTGGGCTGAAATTGCAAAACTCCTTCCTGGGAGAACAGAAAATGCAATAAAGAATCATTGGAACTCAACTAGAAGGAAGAAAACTTGTAGTAATTACAGGAGCAAGAAAAAAGAATCTGAAAATAGAAAACAGAAATCTACAGTTTTAATCGACTATATTAGAGGCATCGATTCCACCTCCACCTCCCCCAGCAAAAACACTACAAATCCCACCACTTGCACCACCATTGTTTCATCACATGAACCACCAAATCCATACTTAAGCGACTCTCCATCTATTGACCTCACTACACCTACTGATGAGGAGATAACTTTCCTCCAAAGCCTTTTTGGAAATAGCACCACTTTTCCACAATCTGAAACCACCACCTCCAATATTGAGTCATTGACTCAACATATACAGCCAGAATCACACCCAAATATGACCACTCCCCTTTTAGGGTTTAATGGAGATTCTGAATTTGGGTGTTTATCTCCGTTGTTTCCTGTTAATGAAAGCTCCAATATTTACCAGAACAACAACTCTCAAACTAATATCCCAGTTTCTCTTGATGATTACCTCTTATTACTCGGTGAAACTACTGTCTTCTCCGACTATAGTGACCCTGTCTATATGGCTATGGAGACATGAACATGGACATAGAATTCAATGCTCAAGGTGGTGGTTTCTTTAGTCACTAAGTTTGCAGTGTCAAGCTTAATGGTTCTTTGTGGATGATTCATATTTCGTGGTCATAGAGTACTTTTCCGAAATTTGTGCTTTAGATCCCTTCCTTTTCCCCCTTCTCGCGTAAGAATAATATAGAAGTAATTGTTAGTTTGGTATTGTCTTAGATGTTGTTAAGATCGAGGATAATTAATAGTGTTGCTTAAGTGTGAGGGGGAAGCTTGTTATGCTCTAGCAACTATCTTGTGTCTTGTAAATATATAATGTGTGAACTCCTTAGTTTGTGGTTTAAAGAGTCTTAAATTAGTATGTTTCTGCTTATTTATGGTTTACAATCATTTTCTTTTGAAATTATGTTAAGAAGTTGCATGACTGCTCTATTTTTTAATAAACCATTCCAAAACATATAGTTGCATGACAATTTATTCCATTTTTTTTTTTTGTAATATCTTATAAGACTTTGTTCCATCTGTGTATTAATTCCTTTCATTCCCTGCCGGGTTTGGTATTTGTTTTAAGGGAAACAGAAAGTACCATGCGACAGTGGTTCATATGTGAATAAATAATGGGTTAACACTTGTGTTCCATCTGCACATATATTGGTAATCTAGCTATGCTTGTAACTTGCCAATTAAAAACTCAGATACTCATCGAATTCCTTTTTTCACTGTGGAATCTTAAACAGTTTGGTAAAATATGATAATAGTCAAGAAATTGTATAAAAGATTGGATGTGAAATGATGAATTAATATTCAAGAAATCATTCTGCATAGAATTAAATAAATATAAGCTTGCAATTCAAAAAATATAATGAATTTTCATGTCCAAATTTCTTACATTTATATACTTGGAAGATTAAAGAATTTATGTAAGTATGTATGTATATATGTACGTATCTACACGAGTGTGTAGATATGTCGTAATCTCGACCGTTTTGGCAATGTCGCATTCGTAAGATGAAGGGTATCATATTAACCCTACAACACACTAAAAAATAATAAATTTTCAACGTCTAAATTTCTTCAACATTAGTCAAACGTCGCGCACGAACTAAGTAATCCTAAACTTACTCTCAAGGTTAAAAACCAGTATTCGACTAAGATCATTTCCATAATGTTGAAGTGTGCATCTCCATAATCTTCAAAAGCAGTTCATATATATAGCAAGGAGAACCGTACGTTGTAACAATTTCATATGGCTATACATGTTAAACAACCTTATGAAAGAGTTCCCTAGGAACAATACAAGATAAGGGAGACAAGACTTGCTAAAAAGAATCATCTTTCCATGAGATGGTGAACTAGCTTGCTTCATCAAGATTCATGTTGTTTACTTTTGTTGTGTCCAAATCAATAAAATTGGATATATATTCAGGAGCTAATCTTTCACAGGAATGATTACAAACGTATTGGTATATATACATTGATATGGATTTGGATGTACCAAACCAAAAATAAAATTAAAAAAAAAAATCAAGTTTGAAAGAAGGTATCTCATTTATGTTGAAGCAAATTTGCAATCTCTTAAATAGAAAGATTCATATAGGAAATCTCAACTCCAAAAAAAAAATTAAAAAAAGATAAAAATAAATTAATAAATAAATAAATAAACGTTAATATGTATTGTAGAGATTATTGAAAAAAATTATGAATCATTATGTAGTTTTTATTCTATATTGTGATGTCAAGTGAGCATATATACATTAAGTGCCATATCATTTTAGGTAAATTATCTACACTTATAAGTTAAATTATATATATATATATATATATA